TGATCACAAGACCCAAAGATCCTTATATAGTCAGCATCCTCCCGGCGTTATAACATTTTACATTTCCACTCTTCAAGCTTAAGGCTAAGTTCAAAACCAAGGCCAGCCAAAGGTGGAGAATAACAATTTCCTGGGCAACTCGGTTACGACTCGTGGTATCGCATTTCACGAACAGCTCGCCACAAATCGACCTATTTTACTATTACATATATTTATAACATTTAAAAAGTATGTTATCTCTTACTTTTTGTTTTACATTGCAGGGATGCTCTATCAATCATCACGTATGGTCCGACTGAAGATCAGCCTATCTTCGCAAACAATGGATGCAAACGGTTTACCAAACACATTCCCTATGTTATACAAAAACATAAACCTAAAGAGGAATTATAAAAAAACAAAAAGGATACGAAGTTGTTTTTGTGTGATATTAAAGTAAGAGCCCGCAAATGTCTCACTCCGACTTTTAGCTGCAGGCAAGCTTTTATTTCTGAAAAGCTATGGAAACGAAAAAGGAATGAGGGATGAAAGACCCGCCGATGTCTTCGAAATATTATGTGATATTGTTTTGTATAAAATAAAAACATAGCTTAAAGCTAATGTTCGAAGAGCAGCTACAAGCTAAATGTTTTATATTAATAGGTACCTGATTATAAAAACTCTTAATAATGATTTTCCTCTAAAATTAAATGCTATGGGCTTATTTATTCATGGGATTATGAATAGTTCTTAACATCTTTAAAGCCTATTAAAGTTCACTGCTGAACATAGGCATTCCAAGAGAGTATCTCATAAGGGGATAATTTCCATAGTTGCCACGCTTGGCAGGTGGGTTAGCAAGAGCAGTTTGTTTTATAGTTATTATTGGAAAGACTATCTCCTGGTTTGTTTCCCTCTGTCGCCTCTTACGACATCCTCGGAACGATATGGGGTGGTGGATATTCTTACATTGCCAATACACGGTACGGTTCTGAGCCACAAAACTACGAAAATAAGGAAAGCCACGAGATAGAAGGAATGAGTTGCATACACCGTTATTTTGCGTTTTATCACTATGACTAGATGTCAATATAGGTTATCTCTTACTGAATATTTCGTAATTGGTGGTTGTAAACTTTTTATTGCTCAATACATTACATAATTTACATTATAAGAAGTTTTTGAGGCATAGGCAGATACTCTGATATTATGTATCATGACGAAACAATTGAGACTAATTTAAAATTAAAAAATTTGTACAACTGAGTTCAATATAAATTATTAAGAATAACTCAAAAACTATTGTTTATGTTAGAAAAAAATAATCGAAATCGGTTCACCCAGAAAAAAGTTATGAGGTAACACACAAAAAAATAATATACAGTTGAATTGAGTACCTCCGCCTTTTTCAACTCGGTAGAAAATTGGAAATTGAAGGATGAATGATGTTTCACTATGGAACCCTAAATTGGCATGACAATTTAATTTATACACACGAGTTTAAATATTATTGTGCAAATTATGTGTAATCTATTTCATAGCTAAGCTTTATAATACTTATTAAGTTGAATTCAGTCAGGCAGACAAAAAACTAACATTATATTTTGTTAAATTACTAAAATAAAATAACATTTGAAAACATTCCTTTTTTACTTTCATGACGTTTAAAATTTTAATAAAAATACATGTGCTCATTTCTTAAATCTGTAATTTAACCGATTCGTTGCGGCACCAATTTTCGACAACTTTTAGCTGTGGCGGCGAACAAATATTTCACGATACGCCGGGCGTGTCAAGCGCCACAGACAAGCGACACGCCTATTGTGCCATCCGCCATGTGTAAAAGTAATGTTCTTTTTTATGCTTTTTTTACTTGTTTAGACATAATTAAGTTTATTTGACATCAAACATAAGTTACAAATGGAAGGATACTTATTTTTATTGGGTAACTACGTGTTTTTTTTACGCGCTTTCTTTGAAATTGAGAGAAAGTGACTTTTTTTATGAAGAGATTACAAACCTTTTGTACTATTTTTTGTTGTTATAAAAAATCATTTATATAAGTAGATATAGCTAAATCACCCTGGAAACCTTGGTTTTTATTAAATTAAATTTTCACCTTATAATAACTTTTCTAAATATCAAACAATGAAGAACCTTAATTTGAAAAAAAAAAAGGTATATCATTCATTGATATTTACAAATGTTAAATATTATTTAATGTTATACAAATGTAAAAGTAAAGTCGATCTGAAAACGTCTAATTAGTAAGAATAGCAAAACAAGTGTTTTCAAAAGGAAAAAAACGCCGGTGCTATACGGCGGCGGATTGACAAAAGACTATTTATTAGCGAACTTTTTTTATGCATGAACGTTTCGAACTGTTTCAAGCAAAAATAAACCTTATACCATATCACAAGAGCACATGGTACTTCGTAGGTCTATTATGGTAGTAATAAGACGGCAGTTCAACCATTTTAAGCAAAATTAAACAAGAAGACAAACGCATTGTTTTTTTTTAACAGGAGACTTATTTTCCAGAAATTTATTTACAACTTGAGTTTGTGAGCGATCGCAATGAGTGCTATTATTTGTTACTTATTAGACAATTTTTCCATAACATGATTTAAAACCCACAAAGTAAAAATAGTACCATGTACACGTAAAAAAAAGGTTGTCAACCCCTAAAAATTTCAAATTTTCAAAATATCCAGAAACGAACGAAGTACGTGCATGCACGAACTACTCGCAAAATAATGAATATTTTGTTCTGGATAAATTTTCCAAAAAAGCAATTTGAGCGATTTTTAAAACGACACGACTCGCGTGTCATACGCCACACACAAAAGTAATCGATGGCACGCCTGGCGTGTCACCCGCACTGAACCGGTTAAGAAATACGTCTTCACATTACGAAAACGATTAACTTATTTATAGTCGTTGCAATACGTGTGTTAAACATGAGGTTTGTATATGAACACACATGTTAAAGTCCGCGCTATCTTAGCTGCACTGAAGTTTGCTCTCCGAGACATTCGTGCATGTACGAAATTCGATCATAGCGACCTGGCGAAGCGTCGATATAGACACTGATATGTGACACTTCATTTACTTTATATTTTAAAAGAACTAAAAAGAGAAAACCAATTTATCTGGTGTTGTTATGCTGAAATTGAAATACTTTAGCACGATACAATATTTATTATTCATTGATTGCAGCAAAACATAATTATTGAAGAAACTTTTAAACGAGACGCTCGGGTAATGTAGGTATGAAATTGTGGGGCGTCAAATCGCAGCGAGAGCGTCCGGTACTGGCACAGTGACCTTACGTTACTACGATTGAGCGTCTGTCATGGTTTTGTCAAAAAACGGCATTAGAGCGCATTTTTATCTTAATAAGGGCTAATAATTTTCTACTCACCAGATGTCCCTAGTTAACACTGCGGTAAAGTTTTTGTTACAATGTTATTTTAATGGAGAAGTTGTGTTTTAATAAAAGTTTATCAGTTTCTAGAGTATTATATTAATACACAAAACAATGTGTCCGTGGCTTGCTCTTTAATTTTTTGCACATTTTTAAGTTTGTTTTATTTTTCTACTTTTATGAATATCTGTGGATTGTTATATTTATTTTTAACGTTATTAATATAAAGTATAGGTGATTATTAATATATAGCACAGAAAGTAACAATAACTTTTCAATTTTCTGTCATATATTCTATATAAATCTGTCAAATATTATACCTCACTTTTAAGTGGCACCGCCCTGGTGGCAGAAAAAGTCGTAGATTTTCCTTATTACCTCGGCAATTATTAAAGATAAAAAAAATTAAAACAGTATTTATTGTAGATATTTTTAAATATTCGCAACTAAAATCTATGGTTTGACTTATTACTTGACACAGCAAAAAATTATTATCGTAGGATTTCATTACAAAAATAGAGAACATTTCGCCAGAAAGCAAAGAGGACGCCATCTTGTCGATATCAGTGTGCTTCGTCGTGCGATTGAGTGCATGTGCTTGTGGTGTGCTACTGTCACAGACTAATAATATAATGCTTAAGCATGGATACTGTTTCTTTTGATAATTCTGTTTGTTGCGCGGTTGTTTCCTGTTACAATTGTTACTATCCATTTTTGTTAAACTTGTTATCTGTTTTTGTTTTTATGTCAGTGACTGGTCGAAAATGAGTAAACGAGGCTCTGTTTCGCATGGAAGAGCTCGGGAGATTGTCTACTATGTAGACAAATACTTGAGAGCGAGAAACAGCATAGTGTTATACATTGATACACGAATTAATGAAAGCAAACATCTCCTCAGGACCAGATGGAAATATAATTTTGACTCGTGAAATGTACACAAGCATTTTTGCAAACCCTGCAAAATACAATTAAAGTGACCGAGCGAGTTCATTTCGCTACTGGTATAAATAAAATACTCACTGTATTGCGCAAATGAGCGGAATTAAAGCCCTAGCCTCCGATTAAAATTTTTTATTTCTTGGTTCTTTTGTATTAGTAAATAAATATCTTTTCATATGTTTTGCTCACTCTACTAACTGGTTGGAATTGACAGGTCACAATAAGGCACAAGGTCAGTCCTATTTTTATTTTAATCGCATAGTATGCCTACTAAATGATTATGTCGATGTAATAATTTTTCTGTTTTTAGGAATATTTTGCAGTAAATAGTAATACTGTGTAATTTCAGCTGGTGCAGCTTTTTCAACTATGATTTGAAAAGGGTGTCGATTGTATGTGAAACAAGATAAAATGCGTCATTCGTTATTTTATTATTCTAAGTCACTTATGGCTCACGGTAACTTTGATATGGGAGGTGTAGGGCTTCGGTAGCAGATCATAACCCTAAATAAGATATCATATTACACATGAAACAAACGTAATATGATAAATGGGGTAGAAAAAGCAGTCTTTATCGTATTCTGGTATTTTTATTTGTTTTATTCATTACAAGATAGATATATTTTTAAATTACAATAAATAATATTATACTAATTCAACACACACAAAGATGGAGAAAATTATCAGGATAACTCATGTGTTCCGATAGCCACTGCAATGGTGTGTCTGGTGGAATCATAATCCCATGAGTTCTTAACTTAACTGAAACAAAAAGTTTAAATATACTTGATTTGTAGACCATCAATATTATAAATGCTTGCTCGTCACAACAACGTAAGTATACTTAAAGATGCAATTAATTTTAATGCCGTGCCGGCCGGTGCCGGTCAATATTCATAGTAAGCCTGAAAACCTAGATCAAGGACAGAACCTGAATATGTATAGAATGAATAGTTTTTTTTATTTATTTGAAACTAGTGCTTGACTACCCTCCCCCTTCATGGTAAGTGGTGATGCAGCCGAAAATGTTAAAGCGCACGGACAATAGCGTATTCACTTTTGCCTTGAATAAACACACCCACATTGGAATTGGATGAAAATACTGATGCTGGCAATTTATTCCAGTCCTTTGTTGTATGGATGACGAACGATGAAGCAAACCTTTTGGTTCAAATGTGTGGTAGGAGATAACGAAAGAGTGGAGACTAGCCGAGCGTCTGGTTGTCCGGTGGTGGAAGGGAGAGGGAGAAATTAATTTATGCAATTTCTGCACACACTCTCCGAAATGTATTGTTGGGGTCGGCACGGCTGCCTTTTTTTGGAATAGGCTGCACATTAGCCAGCTTCAGCCAGCAGTAAAAAATATAAGACATATAATAATATGGATAGATCGTCGCCCAAAGTGATAAAACAAGTTACCGGATTCGACAATTACCGTGTCTCTTTTCGGACCTCAGATAATCCTATAATATGCCAGCATAACTTGTCTATATCTTCTTCCAGCTCCAGGATCTTCTCATCTGTCCTCGGGATGCGTGCGTTGTATGTTGCCAGGTCGAGTCGTCTTAGGTGGCACCTGAACCTCCACCGGAGATTCTTAGCATCCCCTGCCCCGCCGTTACCATGGGACCATCCTTCGTAACTTTCATCACGGGGGAATATTTGCCATAGTTGCCATGCTTGCAGAGCGGTATGGCAACCGTAGTTTTTTTATTGTAATATTGCTGTTATCAGGAAGATGCTGCTGCCCATCTCCTGCCTGTTTTATTATTATTGAAATAATTAAATATCATGCAGTGACGTAAAATATCTACCATACTGATAAACCTTAGGAAACTGAAATTGGAGATGGACTGCAGCATTTTGCCAATTATTAGAAAATGTGAAAGCATACTCTCTCCGCCTAGTCTGCCTACAAGCGTGGTAGTTATGGCAAATATGAATGAAATTAATTAATTTTGTATATCATTTAGACATAGAAAACATATTGGGCTACTATGGATATAAGGTAGGTAGTACTGGCAAATTCCTGCCACAATAAATTCTGAACCAATCGAATTTTATTCGAACCCAAGGTAATTTTGTACTACCGAAACCGTAGCTAGCACACAATCGAATTGTGGTTCAAATTGGAATAGTCAGAAAGGAGCTTCAGCTGTTTGCTGCTAGATCAAAAAACAATGATTTTTCACAAGACCATATTTAAGAATGAACTCCTGGTGCATATTATATATACTACTTACAATTAAACATACCTTCGGTTTTGTCAGGAAATATTTCCGAAATTAACTGCTGTAGAATTTTTCTGCTGCCATCATTATTTTTGGGACTGACTAGACGCTGATTACATGTCCCATCATCTGAATATATTCTTATAGGAATGTGTTTGAAGCCTTCATTTTCTCCATGTGATTCCATTAGTCTTCGATTTATTGCCCAAAATTGATCAAACTTATCTGAAAAGAATCATTATCATCATAAGAACAGGCTATCAAAAGTCCACTGTCGAGCATAGAAAAAGAAAAAATTCCATAAAAAACATAAAATGCTAAATTTTCATTGTTGCGTGCTAGGTCTAAGTCGCTGTTGGAGGTATTTTGCATTTGTTACCGTAACTGAAAATGCTATCACAACAAATACAAAGCTTTTTGGAGTTTTGTTAATAACAGAAAAACTAAAAAAGGTGTCCCAAGCTCAATGACGCTTGATAGTGCCAGAGCTTCAGATGCAGTAGGAATTTGCGATTTATTATCGCATTACTTTAGTTCAGTATTCGAGATTTCCACCCAGGCAGTACTGCCATCACTTCAAATGTGAGAAAATGTCCTATTGGAATTCACTGTATCGGAATATGATGTAACTCTTAAATTAAAGCAACTTAATCTTAATAAAGGCGCAGGTCCAGACCAAATATCACCTACATTCCTAAAAACATATGCTACTGAACTAAGTCTACCTTTGTCAAATCGCTTTAACAAGTTTTTAAACACAGGGTCGTTTCCATCAGCGTGGAAACTAGCATATGTTCCAATACCCAAATCAGATTTTGCGAAAAGTAGACCTATCAGTATTCCTTCTTGTATCACGAAAGTGTTTGAATTGGTAATTTATTATCATGTACGACCAGCTCTTTTCGAGCAACAGCATAGTTTTGTCAAGGGAAAGCCCACAATATCAAATCTGTTGGAATATAATGCATATCTTTATTCCGCCTTCGCAGTAAGTGGTCAAATTGACACAATATATACTGATTTCCGCGAGGCATTTATGAAGGTGAACCATGCATTGCTTTTAAAGAAACTCAAGAGGTACGGTATCCATGGCAATTTATTCCGATGGATACAGTCTTAGAAAACTGTAGCCAATTTGTTAATATAAAGGGGTTTAAATCGACTGCTGTCACCATTAAATCAGGTGTCCCACAAGGATACAATCTGGGCCCTCTATTTTTTTCTTATTTTTATAAACGACCTGATCCCAAAACTAACTTAGCCTTGTCCATTATAGTTGAAGACTATATACATTAATTTGCAAAAAAAAAACCCCCAAGCGGTTTTAAAAGTGCCGTGGTGATTTAAAAAAAAAAACATTACAAATTCAAATATTGCCTGAGACTCGTTTTTAAAAAAAACAACTTTTTACTACGTTTTGTGACGTCAAATTCAAATATTGCCTGAGACAGGTTTTTAAAGAGAACAACTTTTTAGTAGTTTTGTGACGCGAACTACCGTAATTCAATATTGACTCTAAAAAGCTTTTAGTCCATTTATATTGTATTGTCTCATTTCCTTGAAATTTTAAAGTATTGTTTTTGCTGTTTAGCAGTCTCGAAAATGGTATCTAATGGTTGATAGAAGGCAGCAAAATAGTTGCGCTGCTGGAAGAGGATTGCAGCCAATGCCTCGTGACTCAAAGGCTAAATGTGAGTCCAAAGGACATGGCAACGCTATCTAGAGACCGGTCCCGTCAAGAGAAGGCCTGATTCTGGAGGAAAGTCATGTACCAAACCATGGGATGATCGTTTTCTAGTAAGTCAAGCGTTGAATAATCGCAAATCTTCGTATGTGGACCTCAAGAACAACTTCAAAGAAGTAGGAAATGTATAAATTAGTCTATGGATGGTCAGGAGGAGGCTACTTGCTGCCTATGTGAAAGCGTATATGCTAGAGGTCGGAATTCATCATTTGGATTGGCCAGCTTGAAGTCCCGACCTAAATCCCATAGAGAATGTCTGCATTGTTCTGAAGCAACGAGTGAGATCAGTACAGCTGACTCCACAGAAAATCAGAGAGCTAAAGAATGTGATTACTGCGGATGAGAACATATTTCGCTAGTATGCCCAGACGAATGAGAGCTGTAATTTCAGCAAGAAGAGGTCACACTCCATAATAAACTCCTTTTTCTTCTTTTAAATTATGGCTCATACTAAACTTTTATTTAATGTTTACTTAGCGAACGCTACTAATACTTTGACCTTTAACATTATTTCTCATTAATTTAAAAATTTTTAAGTATAAGACTATCTAAAATTATCAAACAATTTAATCTAATAGTAACAATAAAATTGGTTGTTTAGGAGCCTGTTTGTTTTACAAAATTGTATTATGTTTTAAATGATAAATGAACCATAATTAGTTATTTTTTTAATACTCTACCATTCTGTAATCCTAGCCACAATTGGTTGTGGTCCTTTTTTTGCATTGTAGACATTACTTGTCCTCTATGCTTAAGCACGTCAGCTTCTTTTATTGTTGACATAAAGTGTGCTTCTACAACATCCCTAAAAAAAGTATTCTCTGTTCAATATGCAGAGTTTCAATTAAAAATATATATATTGTGTAGATGAATATACCATAGGTTCCCAATGTGGGCGACAACACCCCCTTAGTGGCTTTCAGGGGGCGGTTGAAGTTTCAGAGAAAATAATGAACATATTTATATAATATGATATCGCACAGAGGGGCAAGTTAAAAAAATACAGTCTAAACTAAAAAACTAACAACACAAAAAACACTAATCACATATTAAAGTAAAGTAAATTTTAATATCTGTCTATTTTTGTTATTCTATGTATTGTAATCATTTGTATAATGTGTACGAAAATTCACATACTTCAACAGTTCAAGACTTGAACTGAAAGATTCCATTACATTCAGATCTACATTAAATTGTATATTATGAATAATTTTATTTTTGATTTAAATTAAAAGTTTTCAAAATTTCCGATTTCACGTAAAATGTTCCATATAATATAAATACAAGTAAAGTTAATAAAAGACTAATAATAATAATAGCAAAAAAAGATATTTGGTGCAATTAAGTTAAAACAAGTTTTTGTTAAATAACGCGATTTTGCAATCCTACAAGAATTGACAGTATTATCGGAGCTTTTTTTAACATGCTCAGTGTCTACTAGGCATTTGAAAGTCAGCGAGTGAGCATACATGAGTTGACAGTACTAAACCTGTAGCCCCGACCCACACTCTGTTTCCGCATTGCCCTTGCGCATACGCGACGCACATTATTTCATTCGAATAAATATGAGATAATATATAAAGACTTACTTATTTGTACAGTGGAGAAGTATATTCTCTGGGAATTTCGTAAAATGTACTGTCAATGTCCATGGCAACTGTGGGTCACTGCCACAATATAGATCATACAAAAAACCTATTGGATAATGCCATTTTAACGGTTGTCCATTATAATCAAGCCACATTTCACTATCAGCACTTTCTTGAGAAATGTAGCGAAGAAAATGTCTTTTCATCTAAACAAACAAAATTAGAAATTAATGTTTGAAATTATGAATTAAAAAATACCTTTATTAGTAAGTAGGTAAGTTAACCCAAAACTAAAATTAAAAAGTATTCTTGATAATTTATAATGAATGATCCTTTAATCTGATATTTGTTACATTTAAGCTAGGGTCCCATGGCCTGCTTTCTCACAGGTCAGACCGCGCCAGGCCAGACCAACAGGCTGTGGGAACCATTGCATCGATGAGGCCTGAGGTGGCCTGTTGTCGCCCGTCCGATCCATCGGGAGTCGGTAAGTTCAAAGGCGCGGCGCTGCGCGACGGTGCCTGTCGCGGCCTCTACGGGCGCGTCTGCGTCGGTTACAATCGTTCATTTCAACTGCGGTGGCGCCTGCGCGTTTACGCTCATTATGGAGTGGACGAACGAGCTCATATTCGAGTTTTTATAAGTTAATTGTTCGACGCCTCAACATAAAAGCAAGAACGGCTTTTGTTGAATGACGACACCCACCAGCGTCGTTTCCTCTGCTTTCGTTTTACTTGATTTATCAATCTTTCACCACTGAATAAAACCACAGCGGCCGCACACGCAGACTTCCGCTCCGTATCACTTAACATGTTGGAATGTTAGTCGACAGGCCGCACCAGGCCGGCACACGCCATGGGAATGCTCAGTACGGGCCGCGACAGGCCCATTCAGGCGGGGCCAACGCCTGGCACGGCCTGTCGCCTGGCAGGCCGTGGGAGCCTAGCTTTATACTTAGTGTTTACATTTAGTGATAACCACTCAACCATCCGCCCCGCGCGAGTGATTCTCGCCTGACCTATCCGCGAATTAAATGTCTCTAATTTTTACGACCGCACAAGACAGTCTTAACAAAAACGATTACTACTGAAAAACTACTATAGCTACATTCAAATAAAAAATATTCTCAGAAGACTCAAAGAAAATTTAAAAGAAAATTAGTCAAATTAAAAATAAAGCCTGAAAATAAAGCTTAAAAATGGGAATATCAAAAAAAAATCGTATTTATTTTTTATTTTGAGTATTACAAGAAAAGTGTAATACTTACTGGAGGCAATTTATATTATAATAGTACATGATATTCCCTTTAAAATAACACCAATATCAATAACATCTTATATACTCAATATACATAAGTATATAATGTTTAAATGCTTTAAAAAATTTATGCTGTAAAAAAGATTAGAAGTCTAACCAGTGTTGAAACAGCTAGACCAGTTTACTTCAGCTACTTCCATAGCATAATGTCGTATGGTAATTTGCTATGGGGACACACAGCTGACATTGAAATTATATTTGTTTTGCAGAAGAGGGCCATAAGAGCAATTTATGATTTAAAGCCTAGAGTCGCTGCGACAAAAATTTAAGGAAATTAATATATTAACTTTGGCCTCTCAATACATTTATGAAAATGTAATGTACATACACAAAAATAAAAGTAGTTTTACAAAAATAAGTGATATTCATTCTGTAAATACTAGGAACAGACACAAGCTAGTAGTACCAGTTACTCGACTCCATCGAGTCAGTAATTCATTCTTGGGGCGATGTATACGCTTTTACAACAAAATTCCAGAAAATATACAAAGTTTGACCTGTTCAAAGTTCAAAAACTATTAAACTAAGTTTGTATAAAAAGGGTTATTATAATATTAAGGAATTTATGGATGATAATAACCCCTGGAAATGAGGTGATCGCTACCAAGCTATTTCTAATTTGTTGTGTTGTTAATTTGTGTAACATCATGATTGTAAGCTGTTATTTAAAAAAAAGTCCCGCTGGGTTTCTTGCTGGTTCTTCCCAGGACAGAGGTTTTTTCCGAACCAGTGGTAATCAAACAAAAGAGTGACTTTCAATAAGTATTATTTATAATCTATATTGAATAAAAAAGTTTCTGTTTCTGTTACTTAATATAAATTTGAATAAATAAGTAAATAATAAAAAAAATAGGTTTTAATAATTTCTAGACACATCTCAACAGATATTTTGTTTATAAATTGCAATCAACGTGTTAATAGTGAATCATTATTTTATATTTTGCATTCATTTAACACAAAAAACTGATTAGAATACACTTTAAACAACATATAATCAATAAACGATGATCGCTTATAGTGATTAAAATTTCGAGCTAAATTATTATATTTATGTTTTGGAATTGTCATAATGATACATATTTCCTAAAGAAAATATCTTTACTTCACTATTAGTTTGATGTACAATAACATTAGAAATAACATATAAAAACAGAAAAGTTATCACATTTTTCTCTCTCTGTCTCTCACATGTTAACATTCCACAAACAAATATGGCGAAATTTAATTTTAACTTTTTTTTTTCCTAAGTATTTTGTTACTATTATACAGATAAAATTAATAAAAGAATAAAATTCACTTTCGCAGATGACAAATTTCATATAGCACCAACTATAATTTTTTACTGTATTAATAACAGCTATCTTTTGCACTGTACGTGTTTAAACCGAAAGATGTCGTTTGGTGCCTAGACAGGTGAGGCAATAATGGTTTTTGGGGACTGTAGTCAATGTGGATGGTTGAGTGGTTATAAAATACACCAATGAGTTTATATCTAGTGTATAAATTGCATCCAAATAGATGCAAAGCCATATGGACACACATACAGCAATAATGTTTAATTTAGCTTGCATGCTGATTTGTCTAACTAATAGCAATTATGTAGGCATGTGTGTTATTTATGTAATTAATAGTATGTAGGCTATTAAAACATTGGCAACTAGTCAATATTAAAGCAGTGCAACTTCTGTACATAGTATTTTGCAACACACCAACTTAAAAGGGCGGGCTTAATGCCCTATGGCATTCTCCACCAGGCTGAGATCCAAAATAATGTAGAAAGGAGGATTGAGAGATATCAGAATAAAATATAGAAATGTCTACACACAGACTTTAGCACTCAGGAATAGGAAGCTTTAAGGGGATACAATCACTATGTTCTAAGGAAGCTAGTATAAGTGTTTAAATTTATAGTGATATCAATGTTAATGTTTTCAATTTTTAAGTCTGTTAACAATTCATTGCATTTATTGAAGAATTTCTGACATGTAGTGGCTATATCGTCCCGTGGGTGTCATAAGAGCCACAGATGGAAACAAACCATAAGATAGGCAGCAGCGTCTTCATAATAACAACTTTAAAAATAAAATAAAAGCTGCAGTTTGCCAAGCAAGCAAACTTTGGCAAATAGTCCCCCTATGAGACAAAAGCAATCTATGAGGGAGCCTATGTCCAACAGGTTGAAGAATTTACTTATTATCATGACAAAGAAATATTCTTACTTTATCTGTTACCAAAGGAAAGTAACTTAGCCTGGGCACCATAACATAAAAGGGATCCGGTTGTTGGATTTCCATGATTTCCTCTTGGTCTAATTGAAAACAAATTGGCAATTTTCCATCCCATATTTCACGTAGAACTTCTCTGTCATTTGCCATAATACAGACACCTTTCCTACAATTCCTTTCCTTGTGCCCCTAAAACTATCAATTGATCCTGCTTACAGAATACAATTAGTGATAATTTGTAATTAATAACAAACTTTACTCTATATAGTTTGTGCTACCAAACCAAACCAAAATTATCAAGAATGAAGAAATACCTTTTGACAGCTGTCACATTTATTGGACTAGGCGTTTCAAGAGTGCAACTGAAAAATCGGTATCTATAATATTTGATTCTTAGAGAAATCGATATCGCTTCTGTAGAATTGGTAATCATTTACAGATATAGAGATTAATACCAGAACAAATTAGAAACTGATAACTCGTTACACAATATTTATCAATTTCTTAATATTTATTGTTTGTTGCTTCTTTTTCAAGTAAAGTTATATAAATTAAAGACTCATCATTACAGCCCTTCACAAGTCCATTGCTGAACATAGGCCTCCCCCAAAGAATGCCACAAAGCACGGTCCTGAGCCACCTGCATCCATCGACTTCCTGCATGTCTTACCAGGTCGTCACTCCATCTCGTGGGGGGACGCCCTACACTTCGCCTACCGGTACGAGGCTGCCACTCGAGAACCTTTCTTCCCCATCGGTTGTCGGTTCTTCGAGCTATATGGCCGGCCCACTGCCACTTCAGCTTACTAATCCGTTGGGCTATGTCGTAATGTATGTAATTAAAGACTGCACAAAACAAATTTATTTAATCATTTTCACTACAACTATAATAGTTAAGTTACAACTATAATGGTTAATATAGTTAAGCTCTCTTGTTAAGTCATCATCGGTGTTTACGTACATATACAGAATATAAAATAATAATTTTATTAATATAAAATAAAATAATAATTTGTTTATAATGCATTCAAAATAAATGTCTATTTCATAGTCATCCATAACAATTTTCTTTGTCTTCTCCATCACTTTGACGCAGTCATCCCGTGTGTATTTGTTGTATTTTCTATAAATCACATGGCAAATTATGAGGCGCCCACCTTTTCCGTTGTTCGTATATGAGGCACAGTGTGGCTGGCGTTTCATCTAATGATAGTTGCAACATCGAGTGATGTCACCCGCAACGTTTTCCAACACGTAGAATTCATCTCGGGCGACAAGGTCGCAGGACAAATGTCTCCAAATGAAAATGGGGGTTAAAAAATAAAAAATATTATTCATGGTCGGCATTATCAACTAATAACAAATCTATCCAGAATTGGAATTCGAACGTGTGTGGTGTAGCTCATTATCAGGGGCTCCGGGTCATAATATAAATTAATTATTATTTTCAAGTTTAAAATGACACTGTATTTTTGTGTCGAGTATATACGTGAACGAGTACTGCTGAAACTTAAGAAAATGCCTGTACGGTCCGTTGCAGAAAAACTCTTGAGTAGAAAGCTTTGAGTGGAGATGTTGCATCTACTTCACACAAATTTAGTTCTTAGTTCTTACTAATCTTTTTGTCTATTGTGGTCCTGTTAGCTCTCTTTCTGTTTTCTCCCTTTTTTAAAAACAAAAAACTAGCTCTGTTGCAACAGCCCTTCTTTAGGTATGATATGACGTAATATTCCTAATGAACCATCTACTACTGTAATGCATTTTTATTCCACGCATTTTGGCTGCCGGTCACTATTTTCTAAGAAATATTATCAGGTAGACCTTTTTCTTCGCCGATTTTCATGTTAAATTGTTAAAATTAATCTCTGGAATGTCAAAAAACGCTACGAACTTCTCGTAGTAGTAACCAAAAAAACTAGGGATATTTACGTAAAATAGGTTTTTATATAGATATATTTGAATACCAAATTTTTACCTACTGGTGAGGTTAATTACATAAAAAGTTAATCTTTTTAAGGGGTAGTAAGTTAATTCGATTTTTGTGTTTGATTTAATAAACATATTTTATAAATTTATACCTGTGTTTTATTGATCTGCATAACTTTCCTTACCTACCGACGTATTATTTACTCCTACCGACGTATTATTCACTAAATACTTACCTTATTAAACTAATCACTTAAGTATATTAATACATAGGCGTCGATCATGGCGAAAAATAGAATAGAATCATTTTTATTCAATATAGATTACAAGAATACTTATTGAAAGTTTTTTTTTTACTTTTATCACTGGTCTGGAAATAACCTCTTTCCTATGAAGAACCAGCAAGAAACCCAGCGAGACTTTTTTTGCAATAAAATTAATTTACAAATAAATTATATTATAAAATTGGTATGAAGATATTAGAAACAGCATGGTGGCGATCAACTCGTTCCCAAAGATTATTTTTAGACATGTAGGTACTCTTACAATAATATAATTAACAATTTTTGCTTTATAAAAAAAAATTAGATAGATAAAGTCTGCATATTTTTTGAGAATTTGTTATAAAAGCAATGTTCACTGCTCGATGAGGAAATTACTGATAATTCGGTAAATGGAGTCGAGTAACTAACTTGTGCTTATTCCAAAGTATTTATTATCGTTATTATTCATGGTTATTCCCTACAAAGTAAGGTAAGCCATTAATATTTACTAAGAACAGGAAGGGGCCAAGAATTAAGCCGTAAGAAACACCTAGACATACTACCAATCTGGAAGAACTACCCCCATTAATAACAACTGTTTACATTTTATTTTTTAGACAGAAGTTTGAGCGCTAGTTTTTACACCATAATGATGTTGCTTTCTGATTAATATCTCATGGTGAACACTGTCGAAATCCTTGGAGAGATCACAAAATACATACAAAGCATCCTCTGAATTCTGCCCTGCACAGAAAATATGTTTAATTAACTTAACACCTTTATTAGTCCAAGAGGCGGAGTCAAAAAAGTCTCTGAATTTATTAAGCCTGGTTTTTTCTCAGGCGATTATAATCATAATTTACAATAAAATGCTACGGTCAGTCAAGCGGATATTAGAACAGGTGTCCGACATAAAAAATCAATTTCTTAAGGCTGAAACTTTATGAACTTTTGTTTTTTTCTTATATGTAAATCAAAATTATGAGAGTCAGTCAACGTCCTATGGGGACACAGCTGGTCAGTCAGCTGTTATGTACATACGTAGCGAGGTTTATGAGGGTGCAAATCATTTATTAAGCGTGAATTTTTTTAGTAACTACTACTGACTATATTATTAATAAATAAAATGGTCAGTCAACAATTCCATAGAATAACGTGCTACCAGATTTAAATAAAGGTTTAGTTTTACTGTGTTTCATTAAATCGGGAAACATACCCGATTCGATACTAGTACTTATTAAAAATAATAGCAAGTTGGGGTGCGATTTCGTCTAATATAGACGCAATAACTTTAACGGAAATCCCCCATAAATCTGCTATTTATTATATATCAATAGTTTTTAAATATTTTACAATGTCTCCTGATAATATTTTATGAAATGTAAATTCTTTTTTTTTTCAAAATTTAGATTTCTCAAAAATTTTCTACTTTACCGCCAAGATATATATGACTAAAGTAAAGAATAGAATATGTTCTTTTAAAAGAAGTACAATTTATTTCTAAGCTCTTTCATTTCACGTTGCTATGCTATTTGGTAAATTCAATTGTTTTGGCCATTCAGCGAAATACAAATATTTTGTTCTCCCAAAAGCTACGCAATGAGACGCATCAACATATTGCGAGGCATAGACTTAGGATATACTGACGTATAGACGACCTGACAGCCCGAAAACGCGTGACCAATTTTAATTTGTTATTGTGTGAGTTGACTAGTGATGTACATTTTACTTAAAAGGGCTATCGAAAAATTTTTGTTCATTAACCGGTATAAAGACTAAAAAACTAGATTAGTGCACAGAACTGAATAACCTTTGAGCACTAAACTATTTTATTAAAAATTAACTAAATTTTTACCATGATAGTTTTAAAATAACTAAAAATATTCAAATAACATCTTACCGGGAATAAGTTGCACCCACCTGCCTTTTCCATCCATCCATAATTCATTACAGCCTATAAAAATCCACTGCTCAACATGGGCCTCCCTATAGATTGCCTCATAGGGGGGATATTTGCCATCGCTTGGCCAGCGGGTTGTCAACCACAGTTTTTTATTATTTCGAGTTGTTATCAGGAAGATGCTGCTGCCCATTACCTCTTTCAGTTTCCCTTTGTCGCCTTTTATGACACACATGGGACGATATTGGGTAGTAGAAATTCTTTCACCACTTGCCTTTTGTTGGACTTTAATTCAAAATGTACAAAATTGCAATAATATCTGAAGAGGCGTGGTAAGTCTACCGATGAAATGAAACAATTTTCTCCAACAATCAGATCGGAAAGTTATATTTTTGACCTTTGGAGAAAAATATTTAATGCCATTTACAATTTTCTCGGAATTTATTTCTTTTTCAACATAATGTTAATCAAATATAAATAGGTAGATACTTAATTAAGTATCCACCTATTTATATTTAATAAAATGTTTTGCTGGTAAAATAAAAACGAGGACATGGAGTATATTATGGCTGCTTTATTTTTTATATAATTATTACCTTTAATATTTATAAAACAGAATCGGAAACAGAAACAAAAAACAAAATCATTTAATCTATACTAATATAATAAAGTGGAAGAGTTATTTTGCTTTTTCTTTTGTTTGTTTAAACACGCTAATCTCTGGAACTACCAGTTCAAATTTAAAATTTTTGTATATAATAGCCAGATTCATGAGGAATAGTATAGGCTATCTAGCATATAACTATCAGCTAATCTTATATATTGATTTTTGTTAAGCAAGTCGGAAGAAAAGGCGCTCTATGACTGCTTTATCCACGTGCGCTAGTAAACATTTGGTATTACATAAATACAATGTTCTACAAAAGTATTGGTCTTTGCTCCATCTAAAAAAAAGTCTGCGATACCATATGCCTGTGGCAGCGTTGTCGTTGCGCCATAAGCGAAACATATCGAAGCCTAAATCGCACTAACAAAGTTCCGAAGTTAAAGCAGCATATTAT